GCATTTAGCTAAATGGGATTCGTACTATATTTGTGTTGTGTTCTCATGGCCCATGGGAAAAGACGTCACCAACGATGTTATTCTGCCTTTTATTCTGTCACGTTTTTGAGTAACGGTTTGGGTACAGTTACACTGCTTTCAGGATCTGTCCCTGAGGATGGCAGAAATGTAATAAATAATAGGGAAGCGATCCACATATAAGTAGATATGTGATGTTTTGTTCTAAAAATTGCCTTACTGTTGCAAAGAGCTAATTCTACAAAGCTATATATAGAGAATTCCAGTGAAAGAGCTGCTTGGTTGGTTGTTGTTTTTTTTTTTCTGGAGCCCAGGTTGGATCTTATTTTGGCCCCGAACTTTGCTCATTTGGTGTGAACTGTGATGGGGTGACAGATCTCCTTGTTGGAGCTCCGTTTTATCACATCCAAGGAGAAGAAGGAAGGGTTTACGTCTATTGCCTGGAGACAAAGGTAAAAACACTGGTAGCGTAAACAGTCCATGTTGGGGATTTTCCAACCATGCCTAAGCAGTGACAAATAAAACATTCCTCCTCTGTGCTCTCACTGAATGTGCTCTCCCTGTATGGTAGAGGACTGCAGGGTGAAGCCAGCGATCCTATCTTAGCTGTTAGAGTATAAAAAAAGAAATAACTGAAGAAATAAAACCATTCTGTTCACGAGATGTACAGATATCACAGTGTGATCAAACCATTCCTTCTGCCTGCTTGTAGGCAGTTTGTTGGTGTTGACTTTGATTTGCCAAGCATTGTTCTTTGCAGTGTTTATAACAAACCCATGCGTGGGTAGCTGCTAAAGCTTTGCCTCTCGAGACTTGCAGAAAACAAAATGTTTTGAAGGCCCAGCTCCTGGATCCGGCATCAAATATACAGGAAGTTATTAGCTGCATCATTCTGAGCGACAACTGAACCCTCGTTAACAACAAACCAAGATAAACCCATTGCTAAGTGCATTGCTAAGGCTTGCTCGAGGCACACAGCAAATGGTGGGAAGCAGAAAACAGTCCGGGCATCCATTCGAATTCAAACGCCTCGCACCCTCTGGTGGCGTATTTCTGCAATGCAGTGCAGAAACAAGCTCGTCTCCGGACCAGCTGGGCATCGACTCCATCTGCAAACGCTTTGCAGTGAGTACTTCAGTGTGCCCCCTTGCATAGGGCCGTCTGACAGGGAGGGTCTGCATGCAGTCAGTGCAGAAGGATCAGCCTTCTGGTCTGAGGTTAGCTGGTATCTTGAACCTCGTATGATATCGGTTAGGGCTTCATTGTAAGCATTATGAATGTGCAGTGAGGTCAATTTTTTTTTTTTTTCATGTAAGATTTACTGCATTACAACTGCTGTAAAGGGATTTCGTTAGTGGGTGTTTTCCATTCCCTTGGAAGGACACCTAAACATGCAGTGATTTCTTTTGCAAGGTTTGGGTTTACTGTGGGCAGCCTTGGAGACATCAGTGGGGATATTGCGTGATCTCCAAGACATCACAGTAGGATCACTGGAGGATGCAGTTGTGCTCTGGTAGGCAATGAGTGCTACTTTTTAGTTTATTGGGGGAATGGTTCAAAGACAAATTTAGAATCTGTGTTCCAAGCACTGTGTAATGGTTCTATTTTTATTTCTATCAGAGGGACATAAAAATCTTTCCCAGTGCTGGAAGAAATAATAAAAAATGTAAAGCATTCAACTCACGTTGCTTCTGCCTTTGAACTTCTAAAGCTTTGAGCAACTAATGAAGATTAACAAATTAACGTAGGGCTTAATGTCTGCAGTTCAGCACTGATGATTTAAGTCATTTAGACACAAGAAAACCTTCTTGGCTGACTGTGCCTTGTTTTCAATCAGGTCTCTGCTAGCTGAGTGACTTCTGGAGTTCACCAAGGAAAGGAAAAGGTGGACAGCTTCGATTTTGTTCTTGCATTTTTTATTTGAAAACACACTGTAGATAAAGAGAGAATTTGTACCATTAGATAACGAGTTTATCTAATGGAAACATAAACAGTGTTTAATTTTGAAACTCTCTCCATACTGGTGTATTTTGGCTGTCTGTTCCTTCAGACTGATTGGGGTTTTTTGCATTCCCAGCAAAAAGTGGAACTTCTGTAAATAGGCCAGCATGGCCCAGGTGAAACGTTATGGAAAAGCTGAGCGCTTTGTAGTCTTGCTGCCAGGATTTTTAAAACTTTTTTTTTTCCCTGTAATGATTCAAGCACTGATACGCGTTTCTTGCTTGCTCTTTGCTGACCAGGTGTTCACTCTCTCACCCACTTGAGATTCCATCCTGAGAGAGTGCTAATCTTCCAGAACATCATTACATCAAAACTACGTTTCAATATAATCCCAGCTTTACTGGAGTCTCAGCAAGGTAAGAAGTGGGAACAGTGATCAGCCTGCAGTCCTACAGTTCCTCAGAGGCTTTGCACTGAGGACAACTTCTGGTCCCTCCAACAAAGCATTCTGAAAATCTCAGAGCCTTGTTTTCTTGAACACTGGATGCCCAACTCCACAGTTTAAGGGTGAGTCTGCAGAAGTGAATGGCATTGGTTGGCTGCTGTCACAGCCTCTTCATTTCACTCGCCTTGTGGGGAGCTGTTGGGAATCTGTCACAAGTTTTTACCTCCTCTGTGAATACTGGAGCTGCAGATCGGAACTGTTACCCTTCATCCATGGACTCATTGCAATTGTTTTGCTCTGAGCAAAATTCACAGAATCACAGAATGGCCAAGGTTGTAAGGGACCTCAAGGATGATGAATCTCCAACCTCCCTGCCACATGCAGGGCCACCAGCCTCCTCATTTAATGCCAGCCCAGGCTGCCCAGGGCCCCATCCAACCTGGCCTTGAACACCTCCAGGGACGGGGCATCCACAGCCTCTCTGGGCAGCTGTTCCAGCACCTCACCGCTCTCTCTGTAAATAATTTCCCCCTGACATCCAACCTCAATCTGCCCTCCCTCAACTTAAAACCGTTTCCCCTCATCCTGCAGTTAATTCCTGTCTGTTCTTCCAGTGTTTTCGGTTTTCACCACAGCTGCAGCCATCCTAAAGCCACAGCTCCAACGTTTGATCCCACCATGTGATTTTGTTTTAGCCTCGTGCTTGGCACAGCTCTTCAGCAAAGAGCTGTTCCATTTTCACAGCTCTGGGCAACAGTGTGGACATCCCTTCATTGTCAAAAGTTACCCTGGAGATCTACAGAACAGCAACTCGAGTAGAACTGTGTTTAAAAGCTGTGTTGATGTAAAACAGAAATGGAAACATTATTTGAAGCTTGGAGATAGTGCTTTAAAATTAAGAAAGAAGCATTTTCCTCCACACACTGAATAACACTGAAAAATAGACGGGGCTGTTGCATTGTGTGAAAGTACTTGGAGGGAGCAATTAGCAGAACAAGATGATTTGGGTCACTTGGTTATTAAAGATTAGAAAATACTTGTAACCTCATTTTTCTGCCTACTTCTAGAAAGGAAGCAGTGGTGGACCACTCCAAGGAAGCAAATGTTCCATAGTGATGACTCACACATGACAACCATGTCTTGAACTGTCCCAAAAAACTCCATTTTAAGAAGGTGATGGCTGAGGTAAGATTGCAGAACTGTTCAGCTAGGGACAGAATTCCCAAAGAAAGCAGCTCGGGCTCTGATTCATTTACTACCCAAGTAAATGCTGAAGCAGGTCTGCTTAGAGCAGCATTTTGGTTGTTAGGACTACAGCTTGAACCACTGATTTAAGACTCCCAGTCTTTTATTGGGCTACATCCACCTAATTCATTTTATGGGAGCAGACGCTGTTGAGTTTCCCAATCTATTTTTATTCAACATTAAAGAGTGTTCCTGTTTTGTTGGCAGCCATCCTCTCCTGCTATTCACTGTGGCCAACCAATGCCATTCACTTCTGCAGACTTACCCTTAAACTGTGGAGTTGGGCATCCAGTGTTCAAGGAAACAGCTGTAAGTAGAGATGATTATTTTCATTTTTTTCCTGCCTCTAAATGGTACTTTGAGTAGCTGCTCTTGCTGCTGTATCTTTACAGTTAGGCCATAGGCTCTGTTAGTTCACATTCAGCCTGTCACTCACATGCATTTCCTCAAGGCAGGAGGTGATTTCTTAATTCCTGCACTTTAATGTCTATTCTGGAAAGGAATGCCAAGCACAACATGCATCTTGCTTTAACAGGATCCCAGTGAGTTAAAGAGTATCAGTGTAATCAGTATTTTGTTATAGCCTTCTTTTCCCTCAAAATTGCCAAACTCCTCAGTGATTTGGCAATTAGATGAAAGTGTATTCTGAAGTAAGCCTGCAATCATTGTTAATACCACTGAGTTTTGCTTTTTTCACCACAAAACACACTGAGAAGTGAACAAGAAAGGCTGGATGTGGCTCTGGGCAGCCTGGTCTGGTGGTTGGTGACCCTGCACGTAGCATAGGTGATCATTGTGATCCTTTTCAACCCAGGCCATTCTATGGTTCTATGAATTCCTGCTCCATGTCCACACTACTTGTGAGGCACCAGTTTCACAAAATTATACTTGTCCTTTTTAACCTTCCAAAGTGTTTGGATCCACGTGAAAAAATCTTTCCTTCCCTTATAATTACAGCTTTGCTCAAACTTCATTATTTCAGTAAAAAATAGAGCAGCCTTTAAGGTCAACATTTAAGAATAGTGCATATTTAAAAGCTTGTGCTTACTGAACTGGAAAACTGGGTGCTGACATCCTCCTTCCAACTTAGCAGAGAAAACAGATGAGTAATGTAACTCAGTTTTGTTCCAAATGGAGCTTTGATTCCAAATGATTGGAACCAGAACGGAATTAGGGCATTTTTCTTGCTCAGGGGTTTCTGTGTGTTACTGTTCAGATTCCTTTCTTGTCACATGCCTTCTATTAAAATATATGGAGCTGATTAATACACAGAATTTTATTAAACAAAATGTTTAAAAAGGAAATGCGGACTCATCTGTGAGAACTGCACCTCCCTGCAAGCACAGCCAAAGGCAAAGTTTTCTACATGAATTTAAAGTCAGATTTTTTGAAGGGTAAAATCTTCCCGTTTTGATTAATGAGAGCAACGTTGCACACTGACAGATCAACATTGGTTGTGGGGAAACACTTCAAGGCAATGGCAGCTTTCAAAGACCTCATAACAAACAGCAACCCCAGCACTGCTGTACGTCACCCTGCAGGACAGCAGGCTGGCTCCTCTCCCTTTAACTGCCAGTTTCCATCCTTGTACAGCCAATGCTGGCAATTCGGAAATAAAGGACCAAGATGGGCAGGTAATAAAGTTGTTTTTATCCATTCTGCTTTTTTTTTTCCTTTCTAAAGCATAATAGCACCATTCTGACCGAAGAAAATGTCTTTGATGTCAGATGTGCATTCACTGCAGCTCTCACCAAGTAAGCTTTAGAAATACTCAATTACGTTCCATTACTTAAGTCAATTAGAGGAAAAAGGATGGAGAGGATGCCTGGTAGGATTCCAGTATGATTTCCACCGTAATAATTTCAAGCAGTGCAGATTGTCAGGTTGCTTTCTGTAGCTTAAGATAGCAAAAGTAAGAGCCTTGAAGGTGGGGAGGTTCTTCCTCTTCATTCCTTAATGCACCTGGGTCACTGGATGTACTAATTTTCAATAATAATTAAATTAAATGTTCACTTAGACTGATTTATCTTCCTCTGCCAGTTTCTTTGATGCACATGAATGTTAGCCAAGGACTTCTTGAAAACAAAGAATTCAAATTTGATATATCTTCAGCTTTAGTTTGCGTCACCCAGTTGCCATGAAGACTAAAGAACCCCCTGTGCATTTTCTTCTCTAGATAAACGGAGAAAATCACTTTAATGCTACCATCAGGTCACAGCTTTGGGATCCTGTCAGCATACAAGGTCACAGCTGTCAAAAATGCATCAGGAAAAGAGGTATTTTTTAAAATAACGCAGTATGTTATCACATTAACAATGGTCCTCACAGAGAGGAAAAAGAAAACCATATTATTGCAGATTAGAATGTTTTTAAAAGCCAAACTACTGAAACTTTAGGAAATTTACTTTTTATAGCCTCACGCCAAGTACAAACTGTGCCAAAATGAACAAAAGGTCATTTTGAAAACTACGTCAAAAAGTGCCTTCTTCCCCTTCCTCTGGCTGGGCTAGCAACGCTCACCTGTCTGCAATCGTGGGGTTTGGTTGGTTGGTTTTGGTTTTAAGCAAAGAACTTGGTAAGAAAATTGATAGAATGAGGAAAGAACTTTTAATAACGTAAGTGGGCCTGAAGGCATCTCCCCCTCCTCCCCAAGGTCGAGTCCATTTCCTTTCCACCCTCACCCCTCAAAGACAGTACATATGGAAACATGCTAGAGCAGAAGCCTTTTTTTGTGTGTTTTTTACACGTTTTTGATAGTTTACCATTCACATTGCTAACTGATGTTAACACTTCATTCCGCTAACATTTAAAAGACCGTTCATAAAAAACAGCAAAGGAGAAGGGCAGCATCAGTTCTTGGAAGTCCTGCACTCCCTTACTCATTGGAAGAGGCTGCTGCTGCCTAAAACTTCAATGGCAGACCCAAAAGTCAGTACTTCTTTATGAAACTTTGTCAGCTGCTGCTTTATTTTTCTCATGGCAGATGATGATTCCTTTTTCTTGTACACTACATCCTTCAAAAGCTTATCTGTCAAGTAGTGGAGCCAGAGGACATTGCTGTGTGGATGATAGTCTGTCCAGCCATTGGAGTTCTCCGCTTTCATTTGCCTGTAGATATCAAACTGGTAGTCCCCTGTGCCTTGAAACAGCTCTTCATCAGTGGAAAGGTCGCAGAAGACAGTTAACCCATCTTTCTCCAGCCTAGACAAGGTATAATCTATGATGTTGACATGGATCCCTGCTGTGGGGATTGTGCATGTAGTCCCGTTCAGCACGTAGTTAAGCTCCTTTGCATCTGTTTTCTTTACCAGCACGTTCCCCCAGTGCAAGTCTCTGTGCTCAAAGTGCAGTTCCTGTTCTGCCACAGCCAGCGAAGCAGTCACCTGGTGCAGAATGCTTTTTGCTGAAGCCACACTACTCAGTTTCTTTCTCATGTTCTCCAAATCACTGCCTCCAAATTCAAACTCCAGAATAATGAAGAGTTGCTCTTCCCCAAACAGATCTGGCCGATCGTTTTCCGATCCTGTTGTCTTGTTGTATGTGTCCCAGGCTTTTAGGAGATGTTTAGGATAAGCCCCTTGAACACAGTGCACAGAGTACAAGCTGATGAACCCTACAGTCCTATTCACGGACTCCTCAGACAGAAGACTGAGTTCCTTCGAAATTATTATTTCAGGTAGGATCTCTCCAAAGCTCTTTTGAGCTTCACCATTCACCCTTTCAGATCCCTCAATGGGAATTATTTTTAAGGCCACAGATCCTCTCTCACTGTCGATCTGGAAAACCTCTCCAAACACCCCTTCTCCGATTTTCTTGCAGTTTTTCAACTTATCTAAGGGGATGCAATCCTCAAAAGGGATAGGTTCCTCCTGCTGGCATTCCCTAAACACCTTCTCTGCATCCGTAAGCGTGATCTCTAAGGCTGAAGAGGAATTCATGGGAGCCAGCAGGATCACAGAGGAAGCAGACAAGGCGTAGCTCTCAGCCTTACTGGAAGACAGGGTCACTTGGTGCCCTGAAAGCTGGGGATTCACAAAGGGATTACAAAGGATGCTGGCATAGGAACTGTCATCTGAGATCACTTTCTTTTTCTTATGGAACGACAGAGATGCTCGAAATCTACCCCAGTGGTGGGAGTTATTGAGGAACGAGCAGTCAGCGTCCCGCGTCCCTCCTGACATCTGCACGCCCTTCTTCCTTCCTCGTCGTCTCAGCTGCGCTCCGACCAAGGAGTTTCCCGCCTGCTGCTGCCTCTTATTTTTGCACCCGCGCGGACGGAGCCGCGGTTGCCTCCCCCAGCGGCTGGCGCTGAAGCCGCTGATGCAGGCTTTCCTGCAGGTGCTGCCCTCCCCGGGGATCAGTTTGGGACTTTTACGCCGCTGCTTCGCGGCTCCTCGCCCGCCCAGCGGTGACGCCGCCTTCCGGCCGCTCAGCCACAGCGGCACTTCCCCTCGCTCCAAAACCACCACGGGCATCAGCCGCCGCTCGGCCGCGTCCCCGCGTCCGCCCGGGCTCCCCGCCGTCTCATCGCCCTTCACATCCCCGCCGGGCCCTTCCGAGCCGCGCTGCGCTTCGCCATCGACGGGAGCGGCGGCTCCGCGCAGAGGCTCCCGCGCGGACGCCCTCAGAACCCCGCGGGCCGTCTGTGACCGCAGCCCCGGCGCCGAGCTCTCGCCCGGTGCCGCCGCTCCCGTTGCCCCGCCGCTCCGCGTGCACGGCGACGGCGGGAGCCGCTCCGAGCCGCCCGGCGAGTCGGGGACGCCGCCGAAAGAGGCGTCGCGAGGCGAGAAGAGCCCCGGGCCGCACCGCGGCGCCGAGCCGCCCTCAACGCTGGTGCTGAGCTCCGCGAGCGCCGCGGCGGCGCGGCGGGAAGGGCGGGCGGAGCCGCAGGGGGGCGCCCAGTGCGGGGTGCTGCAGAGCAGCGGGCGGCGGGAGGCGGAGGGCGACCCCTGGCGGCGGCGGCGGCGGGCGCGGAGCAACGGCGGGGAGGGCGACGGGGAGCTGAGCGCGGCCGGGGGCCGGTTCTCCTTGTCCGCCCCGCGCCGGCTCCGCAGGTAGCGGGAGCGGGCGGGGCGCTCACCCAACGGCTTCTGGCGGCGCTTCCTCGGCGGCGAGAAGTCGGGGTCGTCCGAGGGGGCGGAGAGGGCGCTGGACAGGGAGCTGGAGGCGACGCTGGAGGCGGCCGAGGAGGAGCTGAAGAGCCGCCTGCGGTCCTGAGGGGGCGAAATCCAGCGGTCGGGCTGCGGCAGGGCGCGGAGGTACCCGCCGCGCCGCGAGTACGTGCGCAGCATCCGCGGCATCGCGGCGGGGCCGGGCCGGGCCTGAGCCGAGCTTCGCCCTCCCGCCGCCGTTTCAAACAAAATCTCGCGAGATTGCGGAGATGCGCGGGGGAGCGGCGGCAGGCAGCCCCGCCCTGCGGCTCCGTGCTGAGCTGTGGGCTCGGGGCTGGGGGAGCGGGAGCTGATGGGAGAGGAAGTAAACAAAGATAAAAATAAAAATAAAAATAAAAATGGATCGGCAGAAGCTGCCCTGTGTGCTGCTGCAGATGAGAAAGACCGTTTTGCATATACGCACAGACACTGATGTATGAGTATGTAGGCTGGGACATATATATATATGTGTGTGTGTGGTTTGTAGTTCTTAATTGCATCTATTTTTGAGAATAAAGTCTTGCAAAAGATCCCAGCCTGTGTACGAATGCCGCACTGAAGGCGGCCATAGTGCCTTGTTGTACCCGTCCCAGACTCCATTACAGCCTGCAGCTGCTGCCCTTCGCTGCCCATCCCCATAGCAGCCATCCGGCCTCCCCAGCAGCCCTTCCCCGCCTGCTGCTGGAGTCCTGGCTGTTCCAAAGCACATAGAGATCTCTGCAGCCTGACCACACTGAGTAAGTCACAGCACAGAAAAGCTGCTGGGAGTTTTTTGGTTACTTTCCCTTAGGAGAGGTCATTAATTATGATATTAGGAGGAGTTTTTCACACAGAGGGTGGTGAGGCACTGGAACAGGTTGCCCGAGGAGGCTGTGGATGCCCCATCCTGCAGGCATTCAGGGCCAGGCTGGATGTGGCTCTGGGCAGCCTGGGCTGCTGGTTGGCGACCTGCACACAGCAGGGGGTTGGAATGAGATGAGCATTGTGGTCCTTTGCAACCCAGGCCATTCTGTGATTCTATGAAATTAATTGTCAAAGTTTGTGCTAAGAATGAGGAGCTGCAAGTTAGAGTTACCTCTTCTTCATCCAACCTTCTTCTACTCCCAATTTCTTGCTTTTTTTCTTCCAGTTTCTTCTCTGAATCCCTCATTACTTAATCCCTATTTGTTGTCCCTCATGGCTCCCAAAGAGGTCAGCTTTTGCTGTGGGTTATGATGTTTTCCTTTTTAGATTTCTTTTTTTCTTAAATGCATTATAGAGTTCTGTGACTTGTAATTTCCAACGAGTGCCATTCGATCATTTAATTCTTCACGACTGCTGTAGCAGATGCCAAAGGCATTTGCAGTAATTGGATGGCACTTAAGGGATTAGTGAAGTCATCCAAGCCACAGATGGTTTTTTGTACTGCTTCCATGGAAGTCTTGCTGTGTCTGCTTCTAAATTTATTTGCAATCTGAGTTTTGAATAAAATCCCCTGTACAAAAGCCTTGTTGATGGTGTGGCCGTGGTGTGTCGCCTCGCCCTGACTTTAATGCACTCTGCAGTGGCACAGCTATGCCATCTCCCTGAATGAGAAGATTTGCAAATGACTCATTTGGAGTCATTAACATCATACCCCAGCCAGGCTCCTGCGGCAGCAGGCTTGGTGAGATCTGCTGTTCTGCCTCATTCCCTTGGGGAGAGACAACTGAATGCTGTTGGGACCCAGGAAAGCAAGAGTAGATGTTTGTCCTCTACCCACTGATGGGTGCTGATCTTCCCTTCTCTCTGCTCCAGCCGTCTGAGCTCTGAGCCCTGGCCTGTCTCCAGACCATTCCAGGTGGGAAGATTAGCTCCCTGTAGGTCAGCTTTGCCTGACAGATTTTAGCTATTTCTGCTGGAATATAGCCAAGGAATAGGAAGGTGACTGACAAGAACTGATGCATCCGACATAGCTTTTTAATTGTATCCTTGAAGGGGAAGGCAGGATACAATTCGAAATGCTATTTTAACCAGGAGTGATAGCAGCTGCTTATGTCTTACATGCCAGGAAGATTGACAAGCCTTAGGTTGGTTCTCCTTCCCTCAGCATGGCCAGCTGGCAGGTGTGTGTGTTGAACTCTTGTGAGTGGTTTGGTAGTTCATGGGGGTAAGTAAAGTGGACGTCTGTTCAGGAAAGCTTATCAGAGAAACACCAGAAGTAATTCTTCATTTAGTGCTAGGTGCTGATGTAAGAAGATGAGATAGGAGCAATGAAGTGATTTGCTTGAGAGCCTGTTGGGGCAGGTTTATTTGGAAGTTGATTGGATTACAACCTCACAAGAGAAATTTCCTGTCCCTTGTAACAGGAGAGGTGAGCTGGAATGGAGTTGTGCTGCTGCAGGCAGGTTGCTCCCACACTGCCACTGCTGTGTGCAGCATGGCTCTCAATGTGTCAGGACACATCAGTCTCTTGCTTGTGGTAATAGGTAAGAGCTTAGAGCAGCGGGAGCCTCCAGAGCAAAGGTGCTGAGCTGGCTGAGGATGTTGCTACTGGAACTTCTCCTTTGTGGGTCAAGTCTGAGTCCTACGTACCTTTTCCTGTGACTGAAAAGAGTTAGTAATTGGGAATTCTAGGGAGAAAAGGGCAGAGGGCTCAGCCTAGACTTTCTAGATGTTGACATGATGCAATTCCCCATTGGCCCGAGGGGATGAAGTGTCTCCTCAGCACTTGCAGCTGAGGCCTCTGATTACAGCTGTGCAGCCAGGACGCACTGCATACCCTTCCAGTCAGGGATGATAACAGTTTGGCAAAGAAGCAAAAAAGTGATATCAGGCATAGGAGGAATGTACCTTTAAAAGTTACTATTTGAGGTGAATACATGTTTTATTAAGCAGTAACTCCTGATGAGAGGATTTCCATTGTGGCTGGGTGTGGATGGGCGCAGTTAGGAGGGCACGCATTGAGGTTGAATTTTTGTCACTGTTTCATTGGTAAGTAGTAACCTATTTCTTATTTACACTGCAAAGCAGCTTAAAAGGGAAGCTGAACAGAGCAATTTTCCCTGCGTGTTTTTTTAATTCTTGCAACCAAATTCATTATTTTCTGAAGGCAGCTTGTTTCCTGTGTGAAGGTGTGGATGTGCTGTGGTTTGAGAGAACTTCCTTTCTCAACCTTTTAAACTCTTCCCCTTGGTTTTCTTTGATGTTGTTCTAAAGGTGTGTTTACTGTGAGAAAGAAAAATAAAACACTCATGAAGAGAGCTGACCTGGCCTTTTCCACTGTTCATTTCCTTGCTAAAATAGTTTATCTATTTACATCCTGTGCTCTTTGCCTCCTTTCTATTTTCAGTATCTGCTCTGGCACCTATCTGGATGATGCATTTGCTGCGGGAGCATTTCCAGTGCTTCAGAAATGGCTCAGTATTCTGTGAGTCAGCTGTCCTGCATCTGGGAGATGATGTTTTCTGCTGCACTCAGTAGCTCAGTAAAGAGTGGAGTGGGGGGTCACTGAGAGCAGCTATGTCTGGAGGGCCATTGTTTGGAATTGGAAGTGAGCAAGTGCCTAAAATGGGCATTCCAGCATCAGATTCCACTTGAATCATTGCGCTGGTCAAGGTTGTCTGCCCACTGCTCAGTGTCTTCTGGGTGTGACTTAGAGGTAACATTATACCATGATACTGGTCTGAACATAAAATATTTCTATCTTACCATGCCTTAAAGAGACAGGTGCAACCTTGTTACGTTCTGAATGCCTTTAGGTCAGGACAGGGATTAGAGGTTAATTTCCTCAGTCTCTGTATTTGGCTCATGGCTGGACATGGCTCAGCTCCAGGATGGATTAACACCAGGGAGCTACTGAAAGGTGGAGAGATGTGCAGAAGGGTCTGGGCAGAAAAGAGATGTGCATCTTATGACTACCTGTGAATAATGAGAATGCAATTACTGTATGCTGTACAAGTAGTTATGTGTAGGTGTAACGTGACGGGAATAAAAAGAGAGTTTCAGTACAGGAGGAGAAATCTTCCCTGTGAGAATTTCCAGACTGACTAAATGGCCCCCCTGGGGAAGGAGCAGAACTGCAGGTTTCCATGGGAAATTCAAAGTGTTGGACTCGAGAAAGGAGATATCTTGCAGAAGAGGGACAGCCTGAGTCTCTTGAGAAGGACAAACTACATTTTTGCCTTTAAGTGATGGTTAGATTTTAAGTTATTTTCTTCCTCCCATGTGAATTAGACTAACATTTGAACAGTTCACAGGCTCTGAGAAACAAACCAGTAATCTTACTTTCCAAGCAAGAAAAAAATAAGGGTATGAAAGCTGAAAGATGATGAGAATGATACCTGCAAAAGCATGTGAGCAGCACTGCTGTCAGCATTAATTTTGCCTATGTGGAGTGATATTCAGGATGTTCTGAGGTATGCTTGATTCAAAATGAAACTCTGTGTTCAAAAACAGCACTTGCAGCAGTGCTTCTGTTTGACGGCTCCAAAAAAACTCAAAATCCACAAGAACAGATGGAGTTGGTGTTAGATGGTCGTTATGGTCCCTGCCAACCCAAGCTGTTCCATTAGCTTTACATCCATTTTTTAATTTGTGATTGGATCTGGCTGATGTCTTCAGCTTCACATCTTCACAGCTGTAACAGGAAAAACCTCTCTCTCAAAGCAGCGTTCTTTTTCTAACCTGTGTAAATCCTTTCTCAGATTAACTGACCTGGAAAGTAATTGCAAAAAATTTACTCTGTCTGTGTCACAGAGTAAAACCAGGCCAGGAGGCAACACACTACTTAACTCTTACCAGGTTTTGTAGACTGATCATAGCCTGTGCTGTCACACAGGCAGATAAGAAGGTGACTCTGAGGAAGAGGAGGATGGACAGAAGGATCTCTGGACAGTGCTATGTGTGCTGGCTTGTCTTCACTGATGCTTTGTTATGAACTTGCTTGCTTTTAGTGCAGTAGGAGCAATGCTGGAGGCAGTTGTGAGTGAACAGGGCGTGTATCACCAAGACATGGGATGCACTTGATATCTGCTCCAGCCTGAAGAATCGGGACGAGCAGATGGTGTTTATGTGGGACTGTGCCCATGATAAGAGGCACTGCTCAGCTGTCACCCAGCAGATGGTACCTGCAGAAGTGTTTGAACTCGGAGCAGAAGGTCAGGTTCCTTCAGGATGCTCCTGCCTTCCAGCACCTTCATCACTTGGCTTTGGGCTCCAGGCAGCGATGGGGCAGATAGGCTGAGCATGCATTTCTGACTTGTTTGCCTTGAGGAGAGCTGTGCTGTGAAACCCTTTGTGTCGTGGGGCTGGAAGCAGGGAGTGCAGCTGGGTTAAAGAGCTCCCCAGCAGATTTCTGTTCCAGTTTTGCAATTGCTGGAGAAAGAGTTATTTCACTTCGTAGTAGGAAACTCTAGGGATGTCTGTGGGATGAGGGACAAAATGAGGTATTCTGAGGATATTGGGAGGAGGAGTGTGTGCTAAAGCAGCCTTGGTAATGTGGCTGTGACCTGCTCTTTGGTCCTGTGTTCAGGTGTGCATCACAGGTGTGTACTGAGTAATCTCAAGAGCATTGTTGGTTCTGACAGAGCCCTGTGAGCCAAGTGTGTGCTCAGGTGTGAGCTAATTACGTGCTCCTGCCTGAATGCAGAAAACCCTGCAATTTATGCCTACTACAACACCTCACGTCTCTGGTAAATGTTTTCTAACAGATTCAGCCTATGGGCAGTCTGATTCCTGAAAAAACCTGACAGACATCCCCCACTAGTGCACGTGAATGGGATCCTCCTTGCAAAAGGCACACTCTGGTTCACGTCTCAGCTTGCTGCTGGAGCTTCTCCTGGTGTGGAAGGTCAGCTCTTTTAGCTGTGCAGCTGGGAGATCCTGTCTTACTTCATTTCTTACCTCAGAGCTCACTCTGTTCTCTCCTTAGCCAGGGGACAGTGTCCTCCATCCTCGGTTTCAATAATGGTTATTTCATGTCCTTGCAGACACAGGTGTCTCTGTTGCACCAGGACTCATCTCTGTGCTACCAGGTGGTAAACAGCTCTCATCTCAGTGGGGTTAAATCTGTTTCTCTCCCTTCCATACTGCACCAGGTGGCAATGTCCTGCATCTAAATGCACCTGTATCTAATGGCACTCACTGTGCATTTGGAGGATTGTGAATGATCTCTTAACATCCACACACAGAATTTAGTTTCTAGTTTAAATTGTTTTCTTTTGGTAGGATGATGGAGTGGCTAAAGCGGGCATTTTGACTGGTAAGGGCTCAAGTTCTTGTCACTCATGTGAACGCTTAAGTAATTACAAATTTAAACTGCTCCTTTGCCCTTGCGAAGGTTGAATGCAGGCTTTAACACTTAGCAGTGAGATACTATGGCTCTGCAACACGGCTTCATGCTGTAATGTGTTTCATTATAAATATTTGGTGACTGGAGAGAGAGAATGAAGCAGAGGAGCTGAACTGAGGTGGGGGCTTCCCCAGAGAATGACATGTCTGGAAAGCAGCAAAGGAAGGATATGGTGTTATTGCAGCTGCCGGCTTCCAGCCTGAGTGCTGCTGCTGGCAAGCAGCTGACAGGAGGGAGGAGATCAGCCTTTCGCTCTGAAGGGTTGGTGCGTCAGGTTTCCCTGCAGAGCACGTGCAGATAACCGAGCTGCAAACACTGCTGCCTGTTCCAGCTCCAGTAGAGAGAGCTGGGAGAATGGGGCAGGTGTCTTGGAAGGGTTTATTTCTATCGCTTTTCGATTATAAAACAGAGAAATACGTCATTGCGAAGAACAAGAAGGTTGGGATTCTCTATCGAGTGGTGCAGCTCTCCATCCTGGCTTACCTGGTGGGGTAAGGATCACCCTCTATTAAATGTACTGCTGTGGTTGCATTTGCTTGCTGCGTTGTGATGAAGATTAATGTAAGATACTTTAGCATACAGGGATCGCTTGCTATGGTGCATGATCTTAATACAGATAACTGTGTTTATTTATAACACTGGGATTTTGTAATACCTAATAAACTCTTATCTGATTTTTCACTGGCTGGAGATTGCTGGATTCATCTCTACCTTCCAGATTAATGTATGATTAAAAATGGATCAAATGCCACCATGGCTCTATACTGCATTATTTACTCCTTTATTTCTGTGTTTGGTAAGAAAGGTGCCAAGCCTTAACAATTGACTCGTTAGAGACAATAGCACATAGGGCCAAGGTTGCTGAGCCACAGGACAAACCAAGCTTGTCTGCATGAAACGTTTGAGTCTGAATGAGAGGGAACCAAGCAGAAAGTGACAGATGTATCTGCTGGAGTGAGCTGCAGCCGCTGGGATTGTGGAGGACGCAGCAGCTTGCGTGTCAGCTGCCTTGCATTTATTTCTGAGCACGGTTGGCATGGAGATAGGCAGAGCACCTCTCAGAAGAGGTTCTGCTGGAGGCAGTCACTGATATGTAACAAACATGGCTGTATTCCTTGCAGCGTGCAGGCTGAAATGTGGGGTCATCTGGCCTGTGTGATGCCTGGGTCTTTGCTTCCTGAGTTTCTGAGGCTTTCTAGAATGTGACTGATAAGTCTTTACCCTCTCTCTCTGAGCTTTGGGATCCTCTCACCTTTCTTTCACCTCATGCTTTCACCAATTAAATATAGTAGAGTTATTTTGGCATTCCAGATTTATTTATAGAAAGGTGTACAGTTTCAGAGCTTCACTTAGTGGGACAGTGATGCAGTCTCAATGGTCTGGTATGTATTAGCTGCTAAAGGAGGAGTTCTGTAGATAACGTTGCTGAGACCACATCCTGCATCCAAGAGGGACTGTGAATGTCCAGAGAACACCCGGGCCGCACTGACTGTTTCATTCACAGACATCTGCAGAGCTTAGAAACTGCCTGCAGTGCCTCCTCTGTGCCTGGGGACATACAGTTGGTCATGGAAGTGGTTGGCATTAGCCTGTGCCTGCCTGGCTGTGTACAGCTCCCTGTTCAGAGGCTGTCCAGTCTGTGATCATCAAACTCCTCCGGATTGTTCCTTGTGTGTAGCTGCCATTTCCTTGCAGATTCAATGAGGAAAACTTAAGATTCTGCTTTTGAGCCCTTCCTGGGGAGAAAATGCAGTGTTCTTGGGAAAAAAGGGAAGTGGGACAGTTCATAGGAGTGGAGAATGTTGGTGCTCAGGTTTGGCAGAGGGGGAAGAGCAGTGTGTGTGAATGCTGCTCAGCTTCTGAGATGGCTGCCTTTGCTTTCTGCATGCCTTAGTGCAGTCCAGCTCTGTGCACTGCAAAGGGGAGCTGTGCCAGCAAATGCAGCCTGTGTCCCTCTCCCAAACTCTTCCTCCAGAGCTGTAGGTAAGTGCAGTCTATATCAAGCAGTTCATTCAGAATTTAGGAGTCATCCAGTAGTAACAGAGGCTTTGGTGTCATTCACATGTTTTGATTTGTCCTTAAAGGTTGCTTGGCCTCGGTGTAAATCTCTGGCTAGATTGTTCCCTCATTCCACTCACTAACATTACTGCCTGCTCTGCTCTTCCCAGGTGGGTGTTTGTTGTCAAGAAAGGCTATCAGGATACAGACACATCCCTGCAGAGCTCTGTCATCACCAAGCTGAAAGGGGTGGCATTCACCAACACCTCGGAGCTGGGGGAGAGGCTGTGGGATGTTGCAGACTATGTCATCCCTCCACAGGTGGGAATCATGCTGCTTCTGTTGTGTCTGCCATTCAGGTAGAAAGGCATGTTCCAATCTGGCTGCTGGTGGAAAGGCTACAGTGATATATCCAGGTCTTCCTGTGAGAAAACAAGAGGTGGGCTACAGGATAGGAGTGTTGTGCCTCCTCTTATGTCTTTTCAGCAAATATATAAGGAGCTTTTCTTTCTTACAAAGGACAATATTTGATAAACAGAGCCCTCCAGCAGCAGTCTGGTGGATTTCAGTGGGACTGCTCACTGAACCTCCTTTAGTGGGCTGGAGCAAGCATGCATGCATGGGGCAGCCCAGAGGAGGGAGGAGATGGAAATAAATGTGTTGCAATTTGAGTGACGAGGCTTGCTTGAAATGGATCTGACTAAACTTGCCTTGCTGCTTCCGTGGCTTAGACAAAGTGAGATGCAGAGTTGATGCTTTAAGGGGAAGATGCCAGCAGATGGGCCTGGTGTTGGAAATTGCTCAGCTGTGCTTGCTAGGGGCTGTTTGTTTGTGTGCTTCCCTGCTAGCAGCTGGCACGTGTGCATGAAGGGACATGAGAGTAAATTCAGGGTTCTGGGCCAAAGACTCCAAACTGGACAATTTTCTGTACGTAAGACTTCACCTTCATTCTGCAGTTCGCTCAGATCTGTGGGTTTGTGTGCTGCATTTCTACCAGTTTTAATGCAAAGCCTCACTGTTAGCTGTTGATCTCCAACCATCGTGTGCTGTGCAGCAGGAAGGCCAGGCAGCAGGCTTGTGCTGAAGCTCTGTGGGAGCCGTGGGACCTTTCGCAGGTGGCCGGTTGTGCATACCCAAAAACGAAATGGTGATGCTGGTATTTTAACTTGTCTGATGTTTCTACTGTGACTGAAGTACTGGTCTCTTTATCATGTGTTGGCTTATTGGGAGTCATTGTAGTGTGGCACACTGGGTAAAGATAGCTAGCTTCTGGGCCTCCTAATGTGGATATTTGTACTATGGCATCATGAATTCAGATGATCATGGATGGTCACATGTTTCCACTGTGACTGGGCAATCAGGCTACAGTACTGAATCCAACATAATGATAGTGATGTCAGACCTTGGGCTCACAGTAAAACACAGGAACTTCCATAGGCTGTGAATGCAAGTGTAGATATGTCATGGAGCTTTGTTCTATGAGCTCAGGCTTGTAACAGCACAGCTGGGGCAGCCAGCTCAACCCTGCCTGAGAAAAGTTCTGCAGTGGGATGGAGTCTGTGATCCCTGGCCAGGCACTGTGTCCCTTATTGAGAAGGATGGTAAGTGCTTGCTGAGTGGGCAGTGAGGCCAAGCTCAGCAGTCCTGCTCACCAAATTAAGGCAGATTCTGAAGCAAAACGCCTAACACCACAGAGACCCACTAAGCTCTATGTCCTTCCACACATAAGGAAGTTGCCTCATAGGACTTTTCATATATATATATTTCACAAGAAGCAACTTAATCTAGTGGATGATAACACCTTAATCTGGGACAGCTGCAACTAGCTTTGCTTTCAGCCCTCACCAGCTTTTTTGTGACTAATGAAATCACTGCTCCTCTCTGTGTCAGAGCTGTGTGTGAGACTGGCAATATCCAAATTCAAGCAAACAAATACTGAAACAAACAGCTTTGCTGTATCCTACCTTGAAAAGCACCAGAAGAGGGGGAATTATTACTGTTCTGCAGAGAACTTGTGACTGGTTCTTTTAAAATAGGTTTTTCTAACACTTCTGCCTTACTTTGTTTATTCTAGGGTGAAAACGTCTTCTTTGTCATGACAAATTTGATTGTGACCCCAAACCAGAGACAAACCACGTGTCCTGAGGTAGGAAGAACTGAGTCCTTTGGCTCCCAGACCCCTACAAAACTGGGGGTAAGACCTGGCAGAGGACACAGCAGCGAACACTGGAACGATAGAAGGCGAATGCTTTTTCTTTGTAGTATACATCAGTTAGGAAAATTGGACTGATTACCTAAAACCTGGAGGGTTCATCTCTCTTAATTTCCAGAGGCACTGATCATGTAGAGGCTTTAACTAAAGGTGTTGGATGTCTGCCTAGCTGGAGATGAGACTTGAATAGTGATTGGTCAGGGTCAGAAAAGGTCATGGGAAAACAACCTGGAGGTGATTCAGTTCGGTTATGGGCAAAGGAGACATTCTAAGAGGCCCCCTCTGGGAAGGGCTGAACATTCAGGCTTTCGCTACCTTCAGGATGTGTGAGAATGCTTAGTGCTTTCCAGAATGTGCCTTACATTTTTACATGTTTTCATGTAAATATTTGTTTACGTGTCCTCCGTGGAGTCATGGTTCAGAATGGGCTGGAGCCTGGGGAACAAGGATGCTGGCATTCTGAGGAGTGTTGTTGGCACATAGCAATGATTATTTTTCCTTCACAGAAACATGGGGTAATCCAGGCTGTCAGCACAGCTTGATTGTTAAGGACACGGCTGTCCTCTAGTGGCTGCGTTAACCCAGCATGCAGCCAGGAGCAGGGGCTCACAACTTGCAGCTTAAATCAAAGATACAATTATCTCTTAAGGAGAAATATGGTGGCCTTCTGCTTATTTTTGTTGAGTAGTGGAAGATGTTGCTTGCTTGGGTTCTTCCACAGCTTGTCCTTCTTTAGATTGAGCAGAGACCAAAAGCAAAACTTCATAGCTGAAGCATGTTGTTGCTGGTTATGTGACATAGCCAAGTTATTTGCACACTGCCTACTGTTAGTGCTCCAGCTGCATGTTTTCACTGATCACCATTCTGTAGATGATTCAGTGAAATGAACGTAGCTCTGCTACCGTGTGTCGTGTCCTGCCACGGTTCTCACTCCTGTCCTCTTCTGCTTTGCAGAGTGTAAACATTCCTGATGCCTTGTGTTATGAGGATGAAGACTGCCCTGCAGGGCAAGCAGTGGTGGCTGGTAATGGTAAGGAAAGAGACCCTCCTCCTGTACTGCTTCTGGTAGAGGCAGGTTCTTTCAGACATCAGCCGGGTTACAACCCCGGAGATCTTTGACTTCAGACAGCAACAATTATTTTCGTTTCTTTAAGACAGTTGCCTTGTTTACAGCTCTCTGATGACTGGACAAAAAGCACCCCGGGCTGCTCAGAGCAGCAACAACAGAGGGGCTGTTCCCACTAAGAGGGCTTTTCACAGCAGGGAGGAGGGCTTAGGGTGGCAGTGAAAAGCATCTGATTTTCATTTACCCTGCAGGCAAGGAGAGGAAGCAGCTGCTTTGAGTGACCTTTTCTGTGCTGTCTGTGCTACAGGGGTTAAGACTGGCCGTTGTTTGAAAGACAGGGACAGCATCAGAGGTTCTTGTGAGGTATTGGCCTGGTGCCCAGTGGAGAAAAGATCCAAGCCCAAGTACGTGGCTGTCCTATGCTGTTTCCAAGCTTGAGTTGCTTGGCTTGTGTGTCATTCAGGGTGGTGTCTGGGTTCCCTCTGCTTGTTTGCTTGCTGGAATATTGGCTGTTTCAGAGCAGGAGGGAGCCCTGCTTGGCCCCCAACAGGACTGGCCCTCTGCTCACCTGCTTGGCTCGCTGGCTATCCCAGGGCTGTGTCCAGCTGCCAGTGTCCCCCCTCGCCTGCATGCTCCTCACTAACATCTTGCTGGCAGTGTGGGGGAGCTGGGACCAGTCGTGGAGGTGCAGGGTGTGGCTGCTGAAGCCCTATGCTCTGAGCAGCAGATTCACCCCGTGGAAGCAGCACAGGATAGTACTGAGCTGTTTCTTAAATGGCAATTTCAGTTAAACATGTGAGCAGAGTACAAATGTAAAACATGGAACAAAACCTTCTGTTCCAGGAAACCACTTCTCGCCAGTGCAGAAAACTTCACTGTTTTCATCAAGAACTCGATCCGGTTCCCCAAGTTTAAATTCTCCAAGTAAGTGCAGGTGCCCAGAGGTCCCTGTATCTTCTCCATCACGGAGCCAATAACCTTGTTTTGCTCCACTATCCTTCTCCTGCCTGTGGCTGGGGTGGGGAAATGAGTGTTTCCTCTTCTAAAGCATAGAGGGAGGCCTTTGGCTTGGGCTAGAGTGTCTCAGGGAACAACTCAGATAAGGCTGTCACCAAATGTGAATAGGTTGCAGCTGGGGGAGAGCTTCTAAGGCAATGGGTATGTTCTACAGCCAGTGCACAGTCAGGTTTCTGAGCTGCTTCTGCTCCCAGATATTCCTCTTCTGTATAAATGAAGATATGGCCAAAGTTGGGAAAATACAAATTTGAAGAATTGTTTGAATTTGCTGCTGCAGCTCTTGCTCCATTAAGGCAGAAGTAAGGAGAGTAGAAAGAAGAGTGGCCTTGCTGTTCTGACAGGCTCAGACAGACTGAAGAGTGCTGAAGAAATCTTTCATCTCTGCAACCTTGGGGTTGTAGGCTGTGTAGGCAAGCAAAGAGGGAGACAAGATGCCTTCCCCTCTTTCCCACATGTAGGATGAATGTGCTGGCCACCAACAATGAGTCCTACCTAAAGACCTGCCGCTACAGCACGGAGCATCCCTACTGCCCCATCTTCCTTCTGGGGAACATCGTCAGATGGGCTGGGAATGACTTTCAGGAAATGGCTTCGGAGGTAGGAGTACCCTTCGAGCTTGTGTTTCTCCAGCTGGCTGTACTGCTTGCTGGGTGGCTGAGGAGAGCCACTGGTGACTGCCCAGGGATCTTTTTCCCATCCAGGCTCAGGGAAAAATGGAAATGCTGTTTCTTAAAATCATGCTGGTTCCATTTATCCTGTCCCTGGAGAATAGGAGACAGGAAAATGTGTTTTTTCTGGAAGAATTGGAAGGGCCAGTTTTCTATTATTTAGAGCTTACCCCCTGAATTGTTACAGCTACTTAATGAAAACAGGATGAGAAACCTCTTCCTAGGATAGCAGACTAGGGTTGTGTGTTAAGTAATGTGCTTATTATTATAAAAATGAACTTAGCCCATCCAGAAGCGTTTGACCAGAAATGCATCTGTTCTTGTCCCTGGGGAAATCTCGCTCAAGGATTGGACAAAGCTGATACAGACTGACTGAAGTAAGCTTAAACTCACACTGTCTCTCTCTTTCATTAAGGGTGGTGTGATAGGAATTCAGATTGAATGGAACTGTGATCTTGATAAAGCCCCTTCTGAATGTAATCCCCACTATTCTTTTAGCCGTCTGGATAACAAGTTTGCAGAAAAGTCTGTCTCTTCTGGGTACAACTTCAGGTAAGTAGAAAGGAGAAGCACATCAGTTATGACTTCTGGCAATCCCTTCATAATTGGTGTTACCCACTGCTCATCTGAATGACTCCCAGTCAAATAATTGTGGACAAGACCCATAGGTTCAGGCTGTAAAATCTTTATTGCAGAGATTTACATTTTCTTTCCATACTTCATGTGGCAGTGAGAAAGGAATGTCCAAAGAAGTTGTAACTGCTATAACTATGGGTAGACTTCCCAATCTGAGTGGCTTTCTGCTGCCATCAGCTAAGAAACACCATCCTGAGAAGGGCCTGACTTGATTGCCACTCAGAGCCACACTTTACAGCTAAAGCTGTTTTTGATAGGAGGAATAGATCCATTGGCACAGAGGGGTGAACTCAGATGGGTTCTTGTATGTGGGGGGCAGATGATGGAGTTAAAATTGGTATTGTTCCATTTCAGGTTTGCTAAATATTACCGGGATGCTGAAGGGATTGAGTACCGGACACTCTTTAAAGCATATGGAATCCGTTTTGATGTGATGGTGAATGGCAAGGTGAGGTTTCAGGCCAGAATATTTCCTAGCCTGGAGAAGAAGCAGGGAGACATTTCTCAGCGAAAAAGCAGCTTTGGGATGAGAACAGCCTGTCTGGCTTGTTGTAGGAAAGAGGGCTTGCCATTCACCCTGCATAATAAGGGAGATGATCAGGAGTGCAGACGAGGTAAAGGTCAGCAGTCTGCACCTCTTATACCTAAAAACAGTCTCATGTAAAGTCCAGCAAACGTAAAGATGCCCCACAGACTTGTTTAGCATGTCTGCACTAGCAAAGAAGAAGCCTAATCCAGGGATGATGCAAGCTCAGAAATGTAGCCATGAGCAGTTGCAATGGAGACAGTGAGACCTTTAGCTCTGATGACTGTTCACTGCAAATCCTTCTATGGTTATGCCTGCCTTTTGCCAACAGAACACACCCATAAGCACCAGCAGCTTCCCAACAAAACACATCCACAAGCAGCAGTAGCTTCCCCTCTCTAATACCAAACCCTTACGTTTGTTTCTTGGATTGTTTTCAATGAATACTTCATGACTTGTTTTTCTTTTAGGCAGGGAAATTTAACATCATTCCCACTGTCATCAATATCGGTTCAGGGCTAGCTCTCATGGGAGCGGTAAGTTGAGGTATTTTCTTAAAGTAACATATTGGGACCCAGAGCTGCCAGTTAGCTGCTCCGAGGATAAAAAGGGACGATTTGTTTAATTATCTTCTCCAGCAGGATTTTTACTACTTTGGCTGCTCAATGAGGTGCGTCTGTGTCCTGTCTTGAAGGTATCTGTTAATGTACCTTGTAGTCTAAATACTCCTAATATTACATGGTACATGAAAGAAAATGCAGCTCCTACAAGTTATTTTTCTTTAATTTTCATTACAAATTAAATCTGAAATTTCCTTTTCTACTTTAAAGATGAAACATGGTAGTGAAAGAAAGAACCCTGAACTGTGTTTGTTGATTACAGTGCTACGATGGTGAGGGTAAACACAGTTAAGTCTGATGTACACAAGTACTGCACCCTGATGACCCTGAAATACTGCAGGCACTACTTTTCTCCATGCCTGCCTTCCAGTTCCAGTTATGCATCATCTCTAAGATATTCCAGCATTTAGTAGCTCACCTGTAAGCTCTGGCTATATGATGCCTTTTTCATCACAAGCAATTGAAGAGAAGCTTGAGGCAGGAATTAAAGCATTTATTTGTATAACAGCAGATCTAAACTGCCCCTGCTTGTTAAAGTGTTCCTCAAATGCAGTGCAAAAACCATAACATCTAAGCAGCTATAGAGAAAAACAATACCTGGAAGAGAACTTGGAGCAAGCAGGGATGAGTAACTGTGGGCTGAGCATGATAGCCAGGAGGAGAGCTTGTCAAATGTACGGGCTGGAAGAGTTTGGAGGCAGGGACAGTGGTGGCCACTGGGAGAGGGAGATTTGTTCCTTGTTAGTGGCCATGACAAATTCTTTCTGTTTTGCAGGGAGCTTTCTTTTGTGACCTGGTGCTGCTCTATCTGATTAAAAAGAGTAACTTTTATCGAGGCAAAAAGTATGAGGAAGTAAAGTAAGTGCCCTTGGCTTTTGTGTTTAAATGTAATGGCTTTATGACTAATAGGAATAGGAGATAGTAGAATGCAATAAACATTAATGGCAAACAGAGATTAATTCCAGGAAATTACATTCCTCCAAATGAGTTTAGCCAAGTTGCTCCCTCCCTCCACAATTCATCACTGCAGTTAGCTAGGGAAAAAGGGAAGTTGCTGTATCATGGTCGGTCTATAAATGGCCTTGCACTGTCAGACCATAATGACTGCAGATGGAACCAGGCTGGCTCCAAGGTCTCCAGAGCCTCGTGAAACTGAGAACAGGAGCTTTAGCTGATGGCTTTTGTGGTAAGGGGGGACAGGCTGGATGGGAACATCCTCCTCACATTGTCTCCTGAAATGGAAATAGCCTGCTTGCTTTTTTTGTCATCTTTGCTTGTTTCCTCAGGTCCAGTTCCAGGAAGTCATTAACTAGCCCTACTCTGAATGGGAATCAGAGCCCAGACCAACTTGGCGGGCTCTAGACGTGGTGATGGGTCTGTCAACTGGAATCACGTTCCAGGAAAACTACACAGGTGTGAAATAACACTGGGACTGGGAGGTGGAGCTACCCCAGATCAGATCTACCATCTATTATTGGGATTTCCAGAGGAAAAATGTCCTTTAAAGAACACCCTATTTTCCCTGAGATGTTCTCTGATATCTTGAGCTTGCAACACCTGTGTTCATCATTATGGATTTATAAAAGGATTTTGTAAGAGGAAAAAGAAGGCACCAAATGAATGTTTTTATATCTACTGATAGATCTATCTGTGCCACCATTATTCTGTGGCTATGCTTTGCTTCCAAGTGCAGAAGAGAAATGTTGTGAAACACCACTGACATTTTCAGGAGGGTTGTGGTCTCCTGCTTCGCCAGCTTGCAGCCACAGCTCCCAACTCTCGCCTTTCTTATTTGCAAGATTAGATATAAAGCAGCAGGACTGCTCTTGTCAGGAAACGCAACGAAATGCAGCATTGCAGAATTGCAGCAACTGTGTCCAGAAGAAAGTGGCTTATCATCCTGTACTGCCCAATTACTCTTATTGCCCTGTTTTTGTTGTAACCATCAGAGCCAGGAGCGGTGCTCCTCCAGGGAAAGCCTTTACAACTGCTGCAACAAGGTGCTCTGCTCGTCTCTCCTGGGAACGTCCACAGCAGAGCCTGCCACAGCTCTGAGTGGAGAACCAGTTTCAGCCACGGCTGGCTCCCAGCTACCTCATCTGCTACACAGATTCTCCATTTATAGTTATACCCAAATGACCAGTATTTCAAAGGACGGAAAAGATGACAGCACGCAGAGGGTATTTTATGGGCAGGGAGAGTATTAGTGATATTAGTAGTGCTGTGGAGATTGAAAAGCGAAATTCTGTCAGGTCAAACAGACTTTGCTGGGCTCTTCCAAATGTAACAACAGAAGGAAAAAGTCGAAGACAGACGTCCACTATTCTAACATTTCAGTATCTTCCAAGAACCACAGGTGCTTCGTTGTCTCTCAAGAGAAAACTAAGTCACTGCAACCCACTTCGTGAATTTATGCTCAAGTGGGGATGCAATTACTCTAAGAGGAGGAAAATGCTTACAAAATAATGTTATTTTCTTTTAAAGTTTGGATTTGCTTGAGCTGACAGGAACTGACTCACTAAGGCGGTAGGTGAATATTCCTCTCTTTGAAATATTAGTCCTTTCACAAAGTTTAAAGGACTCCTGCTGCACTGTCCTTGCTAGGACAGTTGTAGAGAGGATGGCATTGCAGGTAGCTGCTGTGATCTGCTGTTATACACAGATGGAATCAGAATGCAACACCTACCTCTGCTTTAATTTCTCAAAAGCATTTGTTCTGAGCAATGTTGTTTTTTTGTCTAAATGAAAACTCACCTTTGCTAAAAGTGGCAAACTTCCAATTCAGTCATTAATAGCAAACCCCACCCAGTCCAGTCTACTCCCTCTGCTCCAGCTTCTGGGCAGATGCGAGTAAATATCAACTAGTCAAACATTTAGCTAGAAAATGGAGTTAAACACTGGAGTGACAATAATTTAGAATAAGCTATGTACACCTGGTGCTGTATTTACACTGAAATTCTCCTCTTTGACTCAGAACTCTTAATAGATATGCACCACCCTGCATATAATGGATAGATAACACTAGCCAAGCCTACTGGAACAACCATGCCAACGAAAAAACACAGACCTTTTTCCATCAGGGCCTAGTTCTATTTAAATAGTTTCTAGATGGTAAAACATGTAGTAAACCCCACACGTGCTATCAGGCCAAGGCACAACTCAGAGACCAGATAGTTCACCTTAGCATGTAAAGCTGACTGTGCCCAGCTGAAGCCAATGCTTCAACTTGACAGAATGATGTCCTTGTTAGACAACCAAAGCTTTTTCCTGAATTTAAGTCTTCATGGGCTTCAGCATCCCCAAAACTCACTAGAATATTTCCCTTAGTTATAGCATTCGTTTGCAGTTAATAACAGTTGCAGTTAATAAAATATGAACAGCTTTCCTCTCAGGATCTTGTTTGGTTTTTTTTTGTATTTGAATTACAGCAATAAGGTTTGTCACTTTGGGGCAGTGCTCTGTTAAGACTGCTGTAAAACACATTGTTTAGGTTGCATGTGCCAGCTTCCTTTGTGATACACACTTATACAAAACAATTCAATTAAGAGTTTAGAATGTATTTCAATAGTACAGGTGTCTAAACATACTAATTAATGTGCAAAAAGCAGCAGATGGCATGAAAAGCATACTAGTGAGGCAGTTAAAGCCTTGACTGTTTTTTCTTCCCCAAAAAGAAACACGACTTAGGCAATGCTGACAAACCCCTCTTTTGTACAACTCTGTGTTTTGCCAGAACTCAGTTTTTCTGTAAAATATTTTTGAATACAGAACCTAATATTGTAAAATCTTTGTATAACAAACAGGTAATATTTTATAGTGTTCTGGTGAAGTGATGACCGACACAAAGACCAGACAGCCAGATGGCACAAGGTGGGGGTGTAGAATATGTGACAAAACCCTGTCACTGTACAAGAGTTTGCTTGCTGCTTTCAGATGAAAGGCACTAAACAGCATTTGCGCAAGCAGCTCCAGAGCAAAGTGACTTAACTGCTTTAAAGGGTGATCAGAAGTTCCTTTCAGATTCTGTCAGAGTACCACAACAACCATAACAGCTGCAGAAAATGCCAATGGCTGTAACAAGTGAGTTCAGTACAGACTGAATTGCAGGTAATTAGACATTGAGTGTATTTGGGTGCCTCTATTTCATTGGACACAGTGGTATTAAAACAGAGTCATTGACTTGGGAGAACATTACTTATTGACTTTTGTACATGCAGTGAGGAGTATCTGTGACAATGTCATTTATTTATAGTGTGAACATACAGCAACTGTGTAAGTTAACATTTGCACTAGCATTTCAAATACATTTCTGTACCAAACTTTTGCGTACATTTAATTACATGCTACTGTGAAATACTTCCTCGTGTCAGTGGCTTATTTTTATAGTGCTCTGTTTGCATGTAGGGGCAGGCAGCAACAGGCAGTAATTGGTATTTCTTACCCACAGTGCACAGGATGCAAAGAACTAAGGTAGTCAAAACCTGCAGCTGTGACTGCAGTTAAGGACAATAAGTCATTCCTCTGCCATCAAACAAACATTCATGGGAGGCATCTGAGTGGTTTCACATTCAGTTTAATTAGAACAATACTACCGATTCATTTGTACTCTGACATAATTTACTGACAGTATGAAGGATACAAGCAACGAACAAGTTTAAAAGATAAGCTGGCCTAGTTGTGTGGGTGATGTTTGGCAACAGTCCTCCTGCTTCATTAAAAACCACCATGGCTACCACAGCCGTTGTTTCAGTAGACGTGAACCATGCCGTACAGGAAAGTCCAGAACAGGACGTAGGTGAAGAGCCCTCCTATGAGCCCCCCCGTGAAAAGCGGCCTTCGGGATTTAAAGTACTTATTCCATCGCCGCCCGGCTTTCAGCACCAGGAGCACGGAGAGGAGGACGGATGCCAGGAAGTAGAAGATGAAGCCGTGCAGGCCCGTCAGCCCGAGGATCCCCGCCGTGGCTCCCGACAGGGCCGACACCGACGTCCGGCAGTAGTCCAGGATGGCCGCGTTCCCGCGCACGGCCGCCTCGCTGATGAACTGCGGCCCCTCGCGCTTGGCCACCACCGCGGCCATGGCTCCCAGCCGGGCTCGGGGACCTCCTGGCTCCCAACTGGGCTGGGGGAGAGCAGACACGCGCTGTGCCCGGCCGGCCGCCGCCCCGGGGCCTGCTGAAGCGGCGCCTCCCGCGAGTCCCCCCGGCACCGCCCGCCCCGGCCCGTACCTCTCATCCACGGCCGCACGCTGCTCCGCAGAGCCCTCGGCCGGGCCCGACCGTCACGCTTCGCACCCTGCCAGGGGACAGCACACGGCACCCGTCACCGCACGCCGGCCCCGCCCGCACGGCTGAGGAAGCCGAAGCCGCCCGCGGGCCCAACTTACCCCCGCGGCGGCACCGCGCGCCTCCCCGCCGGAAGCTCCTGTCAGCCATCTTGGCGCGGGGGGAGCCGGGAAAGCGGGCTCACTTCCGGCGCGAGCTGCGAGGCGGAGGGCGAGGCGGCGCCTGATTGGCTGAGGGCAGCAGGGGGCGGAGCCGACTGAGGCGCTTTTGTTCGGGCGGCGGCGGCAGCGGCCGGGTGTGTGGGGCCATGTCGTACGTGCCGGGACAGCCCGTCACCGCCGTGGTGGTGAGGCGAGGCGGGCCGGGATCGGGTGGGCGGCGGGATTCGGTGCGGGTGGAGGGGAGCGGGTCAGTTCCGGGCGCGGGAGCGGGAGGAGGGCGCGGTCGCTGGCTCCGTACCGCTGTTCGCTCGCTGGAGCTGAACGCATCGTTCCTCCTTCCCTCGGTGCGAGATCCGGGCAGAGCAGAGCTCCGGGCGGCCTCGTCCCGTCCGGTTGTGTTGCTGAGCAAAGGGGAAATTCAGCTGTTGTGATCTGGTGCTGGAGGAGCCGCTCCTCTGGGCGCGGTGTGACACTTCGCGATGCCGTTTCTTTGTTCCGTAGCCGCAGGACGCGGTTTTACAGGCTGTGAGCGACCTTAATTAGAGCGGTGCAAAGGAAGTCTGTGCGCCTCTGCCTGTGGGGAGAGCGGCGGAGCCGTGCAGCGCTGCCCGCGTGGCTCTGGGCACGCCCTGCCCTTCAGCTGAGAGTTCCGAAGGAGCTTTGATTGTCGCTGTCTCAGCTGGGACTGCGCGATTCCCTGTCAGCTCAGGAATCGCAGGTGGCTGCTGCACGATATTCGTGGGCAGCGTTTGTCAGTTGCCTGCATTGAGCAGGGAGCCCACCTCTGCGTTACGGAGACGCTGATAACGTTTGTAAGGGAAAACATCCTATTAATAGGTCGGCACCGTCACTGGCAGGGTGAGGAGGAATGCCAGGCGCTGATAAAAACCAGCACTGGTTGAGATGTGAGCGATGACCAGTCAGCGAGATGTGACTCATGTTTAGAGAACTGTTTTCCCCTTGTTTCTCAGGGTGGTGGTGAAAGACTGACTGGGAGCACAGCTGTATAATGGTGTGAGCGCCCTCCTACCTGCAGGTCGTTTCCTGTTCTGCTGTCATAGGGTAGGGCTGAGAATGGCTCAGAGCCAACTGACACTTCAAGACTGCGCGTGACCAAAAGATGGCAAATGCTGTGTGATAGTTCTGTGTTGCCAGCAGTTTTTAGATCTGTTAGCCATCCATCAAACCTGAAGGCATTGTATGTAATAACTCCAGCTGAGGCTGTAGTACAGCCTTCTCTCCTAGAGTTACCTGAGCTTTATGGTACCTGTGGCAGACACACAACAGTCTGAAGAAGTCTTGAGATTTCTGTCGGTAATCACAATGCAGTTATTTTGTCATCTTCTCTTTTTAGCAAAGAATTGAAATACATAAGCTTCGCCAAGGCGACAATTTGATTCTGGGATTCAGCATTGGAGGTGGCATTGATCAGGACCCTACTCAAAATCCTTTCTCTGAAGATAAGACTGACAAGGTCAGAGTATGTCAAAATTCAGCCAGCAAGCACTCCTGGAGTGCATCTGGTTTCTGTCCTCTCACATTGTTGGCTGAAGTTGTTTTGTTGGTATCCTTTGCAGACTGAGCCCATGTTTAAGTTAGCTCTCCTCAACTTTTCTGTTCTTCGACACTGGACAAACCTGTTTTTATCTAGAATGCTGTAATAAGTGTTTTTGCACTGTTAGTAGAATGGCTTTTCTGTAAAGTCTACTCACACTAAGTGAATGGTTTTTTTATTCTTTCCAGGGTATTTATGTAACAAGGGTGACAGAAGGAGGCCCAGCAGAAATTGCAGGACTACAGATTGGGGACAAGATCATGCAGGTAAGCACAAAGACAAGTGCTAATTTAGTACCATGTGCACGCTACAGGCAGATTTCTTTCTTCTAGGTACTTTCCAGGGCAGTTTGTAAGGCTTACAAAACCAGTTGTGGTCTGAGAACTAAGTACTAGATATGCTTATAGAGCAGTTAATTATAGGACACCTATCAGTCTACCACTTGTTTCCCTAGACTGGATTTTGAGAAGAGCTGCTAGGTGTAGGTTATCTACAGGCAGCCAACAGCCTCTTTGCATATTGAAGCCTCATGTTGTTCTCCTAGGTGAATGGCTGGGATATGACAATGGTGACCCACGACCAAGCTAGGAAGAGGCTGACAAAAAGAAATGAAGAAGTGGTCCGGCTGCTGGTGACCAGGCAATCTCTGCAGAAGGCTGTGCAGCAATCCATGATGTCCTAATCAGTGATCAAGCTGGGGAAGGGTTAGGGAGGGAGATGCACAGACTGGATATCAAGTGAGGAAGGATTGTCTGGAAAAAGTACACGTTCCAAACTGTGGTAAACACTATTTTTACTTTCTCTGGTGTAATTAACAGTAGTTAAATTTAGTCCCCTCAGAGTGCTTCTATAAAGTTTTCCCTGCAGGTACACGGGAAGAAGACCTTATTATAATCATGGCTTTCAGGAAGACAGGCCAACCCCTAACTATCTAAGGAAGCGCACAGAAAGGCTTCAGATCTAACAAGATTCTTCTGTAGCACAAATGTTTCCTATTTGAGAAGTATTTGGCTTCTGCCAAGTACGATAAGAGGGTTTGTTGTACTTAAGCTTTTAGAAGTGAGCTGTCCTGTCCTCTCATGTTATCTAAGTAAAATGCCTGGACTAAGAGTTGCACGCTGCTGTAGGAAGGAGCACTGTACTCATCTCACATTGTGTGCTGGTTAGACAGAGTATGCTGAAGGTTTGGGAGCATTGTGGCTTACTGCAAAGACTTGTACAGAGCAGCCTTTTCAGCCAAACAACTGAGTATGTTATTAATACCTGTTAGATTTAGCATACTTAGCAGGTATTAAAAGTTTTGAGACACTACAGTTCAACTTTGGTATTGAAGAAAACTTAATTTTCCTTGTTCCTAATTCATTTGTTACAAATTACTTAAGTTTAAATGAAAGTGATATGAACCAGTATGAGCAAATTAAGAAAATGCTAGACTAAGTTGCTAGGCTTACCAAAAGAGCTGCTTGTATCCAGTCTTCAGTTCTTCGCTTCTGTTGGAGTTGAAGTGGGAAGGGTGGATTTTAGTCTTTCTTTCTATCTAGAAGATTGTTCAAATGACTTATTGATTGAAGAGATGAATATGCCAGTAAATTGTCCAAGTGCCTCTTGACCAAACTTAGATTTCTGCACAGATAAGTTAATTACATGGCATACCAGTGGTTTGTTAGCTAGCTTTACAGTTATCCCCAAACTGGAGTTTTTAATCCACCTCCCTTGATTCATTTATCAATAGATTCATTTATCAATACTCTCCTTAAGCAATCTTCAGGTAAGCTTGTACATAGAACTTGAGGTGGCAGTCTAACTTATTCAGTACATTACTGCTGTGCCATGTATGTATGTTTTATTACTGGATCTCAGACTTCTGTACACATGTGCAGATGCTTATTTACCATTTTTATATCTATTAAATTACTCCAATACTGCTTTTGAATTTTGTAACTTAAGAATTCAGTGGTAAATTTTAAGGTTTTCAAGCTGAAGTTATTTTTGTTACTGTAAAAATTGCTCCTATTTGTACTGCTATTTCACTTGATTTTACACACAATAAAACAAAGTTGGATTACCTGAGTTGTTTCTCCTTATATTTAATAATGCCATATCACTCAAATGCTTGCAGCTGAAACATCATTTCTGCCTTCAAATGACAGATTTTGGACTACATCATTACAATGCAGTCAAGGTTAGCAAGTTTTGATTTCATTGTTGGGTTTTTGTAGCAATTTCTTCCTGGAACACACAACACGTAGAAAGTTGCACAGGAACAAAAGTGTGTTTAAGACCTTTAATTAGTGGGCTGTTAATTAACATGATCCACTTCAAAACAACATCTTTGACAGTCTAATTGTTACCATCCACAGTTTAGAATTCAAGGCATGTCAGTGGAACCAAGCAAAGTTAAATTAGTGCACTTGTCTTAGCACCTTTGAAAGAGGCTTAAGTGAGCTAGGAATATTTCTTATTATTCTCAGTGCTTTATTTTTTTTTTCTCCTAGAGAAAAAGTTCTAACATCTGTAGTTGTCCTTTTTTTTTTTTCCCCTGGCAACTTTATTACTCCTTCAGTTACCACTACTGCTGTTGCCAGCCACCCTGAGTGGTGTTCTACTGTGGTTTGGTCTGTGAAGAATCATCAGCAGCAGAATTTAAAACCACAGACCACCTTTAGTTATTATCTTAAGTGGTTTAATATGATCTCAGATTTTTGGAAGCCAGAACTTTGGGAGTGGTACACGATTGAAAAAATGTAGTTTTGGTTTTTTTCCTGTTGTTAGTTGAGAAGATCCACATGCTGCTTGGCCAGCTCAAGCTAAAGCTGGCTTTGCAGCTTCCACAGGCATGAGTCTTCCATCTGCAAGTGGAGGCTAGATAGACTGACATCCTTCAAGGTATTTGGCAAGGCAGCTTGTATTCCATACCAGAGCAGATCAAAGTATAAACAGATCAGAATCAGTAATCAGTATTTCTGATAACTGGTAGTAGGCATCTTCAAATCCCCTGGCCAGGAAGGGGCAAGTTCAGTTTAAAGTTTTTAATGTTCAGAGATGGATGTTATTCACAAGGTTCGTACCCCCATCTCCTATAAAGGCAGTAGTGCTGAACCATAAAAACAATATCAAAGATGATGGAGAAGACACCCAGGCCAAACTTGGTTGGATCTCCAAAGATTAATTTCCACTCATCTGTCAAACACAAGATTAGAGGTTAAGATTAACCTGATGAGTTCATCTTATCTCAAGACTGCAAGACCACGCCATATGAATTAGAGAAGTTCACACTTATTACCTACATTACTTCAATACTTTAAGACTGACTAATAACTCTTCCTCTTGTTTCTTCAAAATAGCTACATTATTTTCTATCTTCTAGGATTAGAAACATTCTTAATTCTTAGTACAAGGACAGCTACAGTAGCACAGTCTCCCAAGATAAAATCCTGTAGGTTTTTGTTTGC